TCAATGGGCATCTTCGTCTCAAGACCTTAAACACTGTGTATAAATTTAAAGTCAATCAGATATTCACTTTGGCCTCTAGAGCGTCCACAAACAATTGTGGACGCCGGACCGAAGGACGGACGGACAGGGGCGACGACAATATACGACCACATTTCAATGTGGGGGTATAAAAAGGCGATTTTGCGTACAATCAGGGGCCATCATTCAGGAAGTTACTATCCGATATGCGCAAATATCGAAAGGAACCATGATCTTTAGGTTATAAACATGCATTTCAAGTTTCATCAAAATCGAATTAAAAATGTGTGGCCTATACTTGATCCACAACCTTGATTTACCATAAAAGGCGATTTTGCATACAATTAGGGGCCATAATTCAGGAAGTTACTATCTAATATGCACAAATATCGAAAGGAACCATGATCTTTAGGTTATAAACATGCATTTCAAGTTTCATCAAAATCGAATTAAAATTGTGACCTATACTGGGTCCACAATCTTGATTTACCATAAAAGGCGATTTTGCGTACAATTAGGTGCCATAATTCAGGAAGTTACTATCTGATATGCACAAATATCGAAAGGAACCATGATCTTTAGGTTATAAACTTTCATTTCAAGTTTCATCAAAATCGAATTAAAATTGTGACCTATGCAGAGTCCACAACCTTGATGTAAATTTTTTTACACTATTCGCATACAAACGGCGGCCATTTTGTCCAGCAATTTTGGTCCGATTTTCACAAAATTCGAACTCAACCTTCCATGGGGTGTAACGGTGATATAATAATACGTTTTTTTAAATCGGATAAAAATTATGACCTCTGTAGGGTCCACAAGCTAAAAACGCGATTTTCCATACAATTAGGGGCCATAATTCAGGAAGTTACGGGCCAATATGCGCGAATATCGACAGGAACCATGATCTTTAGATTATAAACATGCATTTCAAGTTTCATCGAAATCGACTTAAAATTGTGACCTATACAGGGTCCACAAACTTGATTTACCATATTTTTACACTATTCGCGTACAAACGGCGGCCATTTTGTCCGGCAATTTTGTTCCGATTTTCACGAAATTTGAACTCACCCTTCCATAGGGTGTAACGGTAATATAATAATACGTTTTTTTAAATCAGATAAAAATTATGACCTCTATAGGGTCCACAAGCTAAAAACGTGATTTTTCGTACAATCAGGGGCCATAATTCAGGAAGATACGGTCCGATATGCGCGAATATCGAAAGGAACTGAGATCTGTGGGTTATAAACTTACATTTCAAATTTCAACAAAATCGGATAAAAATTGTGACCTCTATACCCATAGGGTCCACAAGGTAAAAACGGTATTTTTTGTATAAACAGGGGCCATAATCCATGAAGTTTCGATCCGATACATGCCAATATCGAAAGCAGCCAAGATCTTTTGGGGATAAACCTATATTTCAAGTTTCGTCAAAATCGGACAAGAATTGTGACTTGCTGTAGAGAGTCCACAAACAAATTGTGGACGGACAGGGGCGACGACAATATACATCCACATTTAAAATGTATCTTTATGTGATCTTAGCACGAAACTTTTACTTTGGAACGTCAAAAAAGATCTTGCATAACAGAACCAAAACACTTTGAAACCTATTTAAAAAAATACGTAAAAAATTGTAGTGGTTTCGATTTCTCAGTTGTACATGACAAGGAGTATGGTGGCCTGTCCAACCTCGTAGGTTTTCCTCCGGGTCCTCCCACTGCTAAAGACCCCTACGCGCAAACTGAACCATATGTTAGTCCCGAAATGACCTAGTTTTTGTGGAGTGGATGTTAAACCCTAAATGTATACTTCGGCATGGAATTGTCCAACTACAAGTGATACTGGTAGCCTATGATAATTTTTATGTTTTAAAAAATCGTTTTAGTATATCACCGTTACACCCTAAGGACAACCGACTTCGAATTTCGTAAAAATCTGACCAAAACTGCCAGACAAAATGGCCACCCCTCGTCCACAATTAGCGTAAAAATATGGTATATCAATGTTGTGGACCCTAGAGGTCACAATTTTCTTCTGATTTTGATGAAACTCTAAATTTAAGTTTATAACCCAAAGATCTTGTTTCCATTCGATATCCAGGCATATCGGATCGTAACTTCCTGAATTATGGCCCTTGATTTCAGACCATAACTTTCTGAATTATTGCCCCTAATTGTACAAAAAATCCTGTTTGTTTTTAGCTTGTTCTCTATCCATCTCTTGCAAAATGTGGGCGTATCCTGCCTGGCAGCCGCTGGTTTTCTCTCTCATTCACTTTAAGGATAAAATCACTTATTGTTATCATTATGACCACAAAAAGAAAAGATTTGCAAAAATTCTCAGAATAACTTAGGGTTTCATAGATGTATGTCCGTTACTTTCCACAGTACGTCTGTTACCTAATAATTTTTATATTTTTGTCTCTCTAATTCATATTTATTGATGGAACTGTTTAAAAATTCAGATTTAAAGCTTACATCACCCATTCTTTTTATTATGACCATAAAAACAAAAAATTTGCCAAAATTCTTAGAATCACTTGGAGTTTAACTTTTCACAGAATGTATGTCCATTACCAAAATTTTCGGTACAAAATGTACGTCCGTTACCAAAATTTTACGGTCAAGATATTTTATTAAAGAAGTAATGTTGTTAGGAAAATAACTGCTCTATTAATTCAAATGAGTGTATTATTATTATTTATCAGTCAGATTATTTGAAAATTTACTTATCTCATGTAATGGGTTAGCAATTTGCACTTCTACGTTCGTAACCAGAAATTATGTACGTCCGTTACCACAACAATTTCTAATTTACTGGGTTACAAGAATCCAAATGTGAGAAGTGATCATTCAGTGCACATGTAGTATTAGTGCCCTTTCCTACAGGGATTAAAACTTTTTAATTCCACAGGACAATTCACAGAGTTTTGCAGCTACATGTATGTTCAAGCAGGCAAATTATGGTGTTCATTTCTGTACGTCCGTTACCTATACTTTGAGGAGCCAATATCTATTATTTTCCGGTACCGGTATTTATGAACAAATAAAATCATATGTCAATGGATACTTAAAACATATGTCTTTCTTTACTGCTATATAAAACCCAAATAGTTAATTATTCATGGTAAGATTGAAGTACCGGTTACAAAAATATGACGAGTTCAAAATGTACGTCTGTGGAATTGCCCGGTATCTAAAAAATTACAATCACTAGAATTTTCAAAATTTTGGTGGGTTTGTTCTTTAACATTATCATTTATGATAAACTTTACAGGTAGAAGCCTTCATATATTAAGATTACCTTCAGTTTGAAAACTCTGAAGTACGGTATAAACCAAATGTGACATACGGTATATAGGCCTACTATATTATATATATCATATTATATCTAATTAACTGAATATGAAGTCAAATTATACAAGCTCTAAAGCGAGAAATTAAAGGCTTTTAAAGCTATCTTACGCCAAAGGTATAATCTGTGACTGCTTTGCCATTAATAATAATGGTGGAACCTGATATCTCGGAAACCGCTAACCGGAAGTGGCCGAAATTTTGCCTACTCTTAGATATTATGAATGTTGTCATATTCTGTAAGTTTCATGGAGATCGGTTGATAATTGTGGTTTGTAGCCATGCCACATGAAATGTGTGGTAACCTGATATCTCGGAAACCGCTAACCGGAAGTGGCCGAAATTTTGGCTACTCAGAGATATTATTAAAGTAATTATAATCTGCTAGTTTCATTGAAATTGGTTGATAATTGTGGTCTGTGGCCGTGCCACATGAAATGTGTGGTAACCTGATATCTCGGAAACCGCTAACCGGAAGTGGCCGAAATTTTGGCTACTCTGAGGTATTATTAATGTTATTATAATCTGCAAGTTTCATGGAAATCGGTTGATAAGTGTGGTCTGTAGCCGTGCCACATGAAATGCGTGGTAACCTGATATCTCCGAAACCGCTAACCAGAAGTTGTCGAAATTTTGCCTACTCTGAGATATTATTAATGTTATCATATTCTGTAAGTTTCATGGACATTAGTTGATAATTGTGGTCTGTAGCCGTGCCACATGAAATGTGTGGTAACCTGATATCTCGGAAACCGCTAACCGGAAGTGGCCGAAATTTTGGCTACTCTGAGATATTATTAATATTGTCATATTCTGTAAGTTTTATTGAAATCGGTTGATAATTGTGGTCTGTAGCCGTGCCACATGAAATGTGTGGTAACCTGATATCTCGGAAACCGCTAACCAGAAGTGATCGAAATTTGCCTACTCTGAGATATTATTAATGTTATCATATTCTGAAAATTTCATGGAAATCGGTTGATAATTGTGGTTTGTAGCCGTGCCACATGAAATGTGTGGTAACCTGATATCTCGGAAACTGCTAACCGGAAGTGGCCGAAATTTTGGCTACTCTGAGATATTATGAATGTTATCATATTCTGTAAGTGTCATGGATATCGGTTCATAATTGTGGTCTGTAGCCATGCCACATGAAATGTGTGGTAACCCCCATATCTCGGAAACCGCCAACCGGAAGTGGCCGAAAGTTTTGTCACTCAGAGATGTTATCAATGTTATCATAATCTATAAATTTCATTAAAATCGGGTAACAATTGCGGTCTGTAGTCGTAAGGCTATATTGAAATTCTTGCTCACCACATGTGGCAAATAGCCACTGCCACATTATTTCTGTCTTTAGGCCTACTAGTACTATACCCAGGTCATGATCAAGAGTCAACAGATATTGCTAAATAGTATAACCATCATAATAATTAATATACAATGCTACAACTGATTCAGTGACTGGAGTCCTCCTATTCGAGAATATCAAACATGACGACACTGTGACTGAGTCAGTGTCATACTTATCTATCTTAATTTAATAGATTTAAATTTATTTAAAATTTATAAAAGATCCAGTAATAAATAGTGAAATAAATGAAACACAACCTTTACCTGTAAAATCATCTAAATACGAGAGTGTTAAATATTCAAAAATATTTCGTAAAATCTATTTTAAATCTGTTTTATAAAATAATATCAAAACTCTCAATGGGAATGAGGAAGAAAATTATATTATTAACTTTACACTTTGAGTCAGAGGTGGTAGTCGTGATTATCACGCACGTCTCTCAGTTCTCCCATTATAATTGCATTAAAAAAATCGCCCTAAGATCGAGACTATGTTTACCTACGGGAAATTACTCTGTTTTTAAAATCAAATATCAAAAATGGATTGAGACTGCTTATGTTTTTCGTGGTTTCTACATCTCACACGATATAGGAGAATTGATGACGAACCACTGAGTTATTCCAAACAATGGACCCGTGTACTCAAAAATGTGTGTTTACAATTTCGGCCTGGCCAATGTAGATTACAATCATGTTATAAATCGCGATGTCATTCTGTAGGCCGACTTCGGCCTTTCTTCATTCATTCAGTTCACCGAACAGTCGTTTAAATTGAGTTCTGAGCGATCATGGTATTCTTTCAATCTCTCAATATGAGGCTATATTAACCCATAAGGGTTATAGACATAACGACCCTAAACCATAATCCGAATGTCTAAGGTTCTTTTTTTTTCTTTTTTTTTTTAAAATAGACCGTGAATTTTCAGTCCAAAATACTAGTTGCTTCCCTTCAATGGCATGAAGGAAACGTCAAAGTCCCATTTCAAAACATATTGATTTATCACCCGTACAGCGCTACTGCCAGGGCAAAAATCTCTGGATCGTTGGAAATCGAAATAAGAGCGAGCCATGATGGCGCTTCAACTGTCAGGACAAATAATTATACATGGCCTATATGTCTGTCTTTTTTGACCCGGTTGGTGCACAAAGTTAAGACGTTTCGCCTAGAAGTTAAGACATGGAATTAGAATTCTAGTTTCGGTTCATTGTAATTCACTGGTTTTCCTATTTGGTAATGTGACTATTTATTATAATTGAAAGAACATGGTTATGAAACACCCCGTATTTAATTGAATATTAATAGTTTCATTGATATTGTATATTTATTTCAATGTTACAACAACGAAAAAAAAAAAGATATTGTATATTATTATATACATGCATATTTCTATTGATTTTACAACAACAAAAAATAGAGAACTTTGGACTGTTAACTTTCTTGATAGGCGAAATAAACAGGATTTAATTTTTAGAATTTGAACGTGCAATGTAAGTAAATAGTCAATAATATTAGGAAGAAAGGGTATTATTGCTCTGGCTTATATTTGAAAAGTTTGGCCTGTTCCTTGTGCATGGGACTAAAGTAAAAACATATCCAAACATGTATGTATCTAACTGGTTCCTAGTTTGCATAATATGGAACCAATAATTCATCATTCTACTTCGCTTTCTTACATTGTCCTTATACCACAATCTGCTAAAGAGTCTTTCAATAACCCAGTAATGTTTATTACTATAGTATAACTCTTTTAGATTTGCTGCTATATTTCTCATTTCTTTTCATCTCTTAGTATTTACTAATTATTAATTATCAGGTCGACTTAGGTCTACTGAATACATAGGCGTAGGAGCTCAAAGTAATTCAGGGGGCATAAGAGAAAATTGCCCGAAATCAATACCGTTTTTTCGGGCATACATATCATAAGAGAGCTTCGGGCATATTTTCGGGCATGCAGTGGACAAGAAAAAGACGAGAAAATACTTTTCGGGCAGTGTGGATCTCATAGAAATAAGTTAGTTATATTTTTTCTCTAAACGTTAATAGAAAAAAAAGGTCGTCGAATTTTTCATTGGCCGAAAATAAATTTTTTGGGGGGCAAATGCCCCCCCCCCTTCCCCCCGGCTCCTACGCCTATGACTGAATACATTATGTATATCTACCATTCTATTTGTCACGGCAGCAAGAGTTTTCAGTGTGTAAAGTGCTGGTCTGCTAACTAGGTTGCCCGAGAAAGTTCCTCGTGGTGTTCCAGCCAGGGTTTCCTCACCCCCCTGTCAATGGTGCAGGACTGAGTCGAATGGGACGGGAAACCAAGGTCCACCTGTGTACTCGTTGGCGTGCACGGAAAAAGAACCACGAATTCGGCGAAAAGTAGACTGACACGCCGACACCCCACCCACACACACACACCCACCCACATACCGTAGCACATTGAATGACATATGACTGTCTTCATTAGCAGGGTTGGTGCAGAATAGTTGCGTGTTAAAACCCCATTTCATTTCATCAAGGTAAAGGTTTCTTTTCTGTAACTAACAATGAATAAGGTACCCAATAAGACTGCGATATCTAACTGAATTCTGAAACTGACAGATTAACCAATGCTAAAAAGGATGCTTGCATTGAGGTGCTCAGAGAAAAAAGTATTGCAACACCCCTATTTGACTATAGTGCTAGTGTTTGATCAGATATGTTAGCTCTTTTCCGTTCTGGAAGGTATCCAAGCTCCATGAACTGCCCCGAGGATATATTAAATCATTTTAAGTGCAAACAACCATCGCTGGTATCGGCCAATACAAATCCCACAGGTCAATTAATTTCATAGGCATGCCGTCCATAGAGTCGTCAAAACAGCGAAAAAAGTAAATATCTGGTAACATACACCCCCCCCCCCCTCCAGCCTAAATCACCTGTTGAAAATTCCTCCTCAGTGACTTTAATTGGATCTGAATCTGCATTAGTCTGTACTCTGTTCCATTGGTGGTTTAGGATTCTACACTGGTGGATCCCTCTTACGGAATATGCACCAAAGCATATCCCATATTGGCCAAGGTAGTGTAGCAAAGGTCTCTTGGCGCATAAAATAAACAACAAAACGAGCACGGTGTGGTCTAGCGTTGTCGTCCATAAAGACTGGCCTTGTGAGAAGAGGATGATTGTCAAAGTGAGTCACTATAACCCCCCTGTCCAGGATCTCTCTTTGGTACCGTTTGCCATTGAGCTCATCACTAACGGTTACCAGTGGAAGCTTACGGTCATGAATGGCAGTCCCATATTATAACAGTGCCACCGCCGAATGGAACATGCTTTACCGCCCGTGATGGACATGAGACAGCAATGTTTCACCATAACACCAATTTCCAATGGTTACGTGCTCGACGCAATGCTAGTCGTGCAGGTTTACAATCTCGTGACAAGATAGCTCGCCTGTTAGTTATGTGAACACTATATCCGACCGATTTGAGCCTATTACGAACAGATCTGTAGGATAGGGGTCGCTGAAGTAACCATTTGTCTTCTAATAATTTTGCAATAATCGACTAATGATCGAGGGATGGTGACCCAACGGTGAAAATATTTTACACTGAGAAATAGTTCGCGAAATTCTGCGGTACATAATCGATTTTATTAAATGATAAGAGGCAGATTCCATTAGGATTAAAATATTTTAGGTAAAATGTAACTTAATTGCTCCAATATTCGCGACATAATTCAATGTGAACGAAAACAGGGTTAGCTTCTTTATACCCTGAAATGGTTCAGATACTTCATTGATCCGAAGAAGATCTCGAATAAGGAAACTGTTTCTGACAGACAGAAGTTAGAACTTAGTGCTTTGGACCGTTGAATACGACAAAAATAACAACACAATTTATTTTCAGAAAAAAAGTAAAAATAAATAATTAAACAATCAATATAAATAACCATACATATTTAACTATTTGAAATCGACAGGATTTAGTTCGAAATGTGATATCCTTTCCCTGCTTCTTTTATGGCAACCTTGATGCACGAAAGCCAGGAGTGAGTGGAAAAATTAAGCACTGTTCCGGTCATCTCCTGACAGTCAAACACCAAACAGGAATTTTAACGGCCAATGTAATTTAAAGAAGCAATTATTGTTCTACCTTGTAAGGAATATTGTCAAGATTTGATTAAATATAGTTACAGTGGAATCCGTGTAAAATTTGAGTTTGATTCGGTTGATCAATTTCGGAAATACAAAAACTCTGCAGGGACGCGAAGTACTAATAACGACGGGAAATTACTACTGCACGGCACTTTCAATTGCTACTGGAAGTAATATGTTATAAATACTGACATTTTCGCATCGTTAGAAGGGAGGCGGAATGTCAGGTTACTCTATACATTATGATATAAGATTTATTGCATACGAGTTAAAAATATTTAAACAACAACATTCTAATTTACACATGTTTTGGTTTATATTACTATTTGGCGAGAATACGACAGGTCGCTATTGAGCGAATCTGGTTCTAACAAAAAAACCTTAAAATCCTAAAATGACTATATGAACACTCAAATAAATACATTATACAACCAGATATATATACACGGTCTGTTGTACTTTATACAATTAATAATATATCACAACTTGAGCATTATAAGCTCTTTATACCGGTTATTCATAATTAAACATAACACATTCTTTTGCCAGTAAATTATGTTTATCCATCGTCCAAATATTTCCCTGTAGCTGTTTTCTGTACTTTATTTCCAATATTCTGACTATATTCTACCTAACGTTCGGTGACCCTTTCGGGCGTTCAAAAATCGTTTGTTCGTGTTTCCATTGATGGTGACTGACATCACAGACAAGCCCGACAGTGGATCAGTATGAACTTTCATAGTGTGCAACACACAACGTATATTTTTGTTGTACACTAACTTAGTAAATTAAATTGTATGAAGTCGTAAGCCGATAGCTTTCAAATTAGTAACTCATCTGGTCCATTTAAATTGGGTTCTAACCTAGACCATTAGAAACAGATTACATATTTTAATATTTGTACACGCTCATTATATCCATGGTAATCAGACGAAATACACCCAGAAACCCAGAGTAATAATTATCATTTCTACATGGGACATTAAAGAAGTCTAAATTCAATGTATCCGCCCGCCGAAAAGAGATCTTGCTACTACCGTGGTTGTTTAACGCTTGTTTCTAAAAAAAAAACGTGATATCTCAGAATGCTTTGTGTCTACAAGGAATTGAGTGTTGACAGTTCGGTGACCACGAAAGTTCATTACATTTAATTAATCATTTCAGTAGCATGTTTATTTATTAGTTATTCCTGATTATGAAACTGACTGGAAGCTCATAATGAATCAGCGGTGTCATTAGAATAACTATACATGTTTTATTATATGTCATTTGTCTGCGATATCACCTTAGTTGGAAGCGGATGCTAAGCCCCTTGAACGAAGGAACGATTACAATTGTGATTGCAAAATAACAAATCCTCAATCACTATGTGTTTACAACCTTATTCATTGTGAGGACACGTTACAACTAACCCAAGAGTTGCTGTTATACTGCCCAAGACAAAGTGAGGTTCTCAAAGTTTAGACCGCGTTTTTAGAACCTAAACAAAGTAAGGCACCGTTTCAAATCGGGAACCTAGTCATATCGCTACACTTGGTTTCGATCCAGGCATGCGTATAGAGAAAAATCACGTGTAATTTGTAACGGTAAAGAGAGAGAGAGGGGGGGGGGGGGGTAACGTCCACTCGACACAAACTAGGTCATTTCGGGACTAACATGGTTCAATTTTATTGCAATAATTCGCATGCGCGTAGGGATCTTTAGCAGTCGGAGGACCCGGAGAAATACGGACGAGATTGGAAACGTAAAACCGGGGAACCGAAACTACGCCAGTTGACTCAATGACAGACCTTATGATATAGCGCGCACGTGCTAACTATCCCCCCCCCCCCCGCATGTGAAGGAATTGACTGACAGACAGGGCTGGAGGCACTATACACGCGCATTAAGTGTGAGCGTAAACTAATTAAACAATATTGTACATATAATGACCTGAACAGTATTTTTATCCACTTTTGAAACAAGTTTTTCATTGCCTTTTAAGCGTTCAAATTTTTTATTGTACATTTTTCTCTTTTCTTTTTTTTTTTGTTGAAAAGCTAAACTATCAAATTTGTCCATATCACAACGTGATTATTTCTGGTTTTAAGTCTTTTCTATGTCTGTTGATGTTCTAGCGGTACACTATCTTGTTTCGGTAAAAATGGCGCATCTGCCCCACCTCTCATTTGATTTGAATATCCTTTTGATATAGTAATCTGAAAGCATAAAACATATTAATTTATTTTATTTGTTGTAATAAAGCTCATTTTTCATACTGACTGTAAAAATGTCAGGAGACCTCGATTTGATTGGCAATGTGTTATTTAATTAGACTGTGAAAATTTAAATTACAAACTCTCCATTAAAGTTTTCATTTCTGCTCAGGTAGTATTACAATCAGTATCTATATATCAGCTTTGACTTGTACTATTTTTAATGCACAAGAAATGTGTACACTACACTAAAAGGTGAAGACACCAGATTGGCAAAGAAGATCCTCCTTGACAAAAGGGGGTATGGGGTTACAAATAACAACGACCCAATCCGAATGATAAAAGATTACTATTGGGCCTTCTTGTAAAATCACGAGCTTCTACATAACATGTCATTTAGCAATATATACTATTCAAAAAAAGTAGGGGATATTTGATTTTTAAGTGTTATTAAAGTCACCTAATGAAACTGACGAAGAAACAAATGACAAAATGAAATGAAGTTCACATTCATCGATTTATTCCAAATGATCGTTAGACTAAGTAAGGCACAGACTGACCATTATAAGGGTAAAATGATACCCGGGGTCAAACAGCAAAGTTACCACAGCATCACAACCAAGTCAGTAACGGGTAAATCCTCCTCTGTTTGCCAAACACGCATTGATCCGACGTGGCATACTCCTAATGAGACGTCTAAGGTCATTTTGGTCCAGATTGTCCCATTCCTGTTACAACGCAGCAGCAAGTTCTTGGACATTGGCAGGACGTTGTTGACGTTGACGTAACCTCTGTCCAAGCATGTCCCAGACATGCTCGATGGGGGAGAGGTCGGGACTCAGTGCTGGCCAAGGTAATGTGGTGATGTTCTGTTGTTGGAGGTAACCTGTAACGATCCTGGCCCTGTGACATCTTGCGTTGTCATCCTGGAAGATGAAACGGCGGCCATGACGTCGTGCGAACGGCACAACATGGACTGCCAAGATGTTGTCCCGGTAGTACTGGCCTGTAACACGCCCTGCAACAACATGTAAAGCCGTTCTTCCAGCAACAGTGATGCCTCCCCACACCATAACAGAACCACCCCCAAATCGATCATGTCTGATGACGTTAACGTCTTGGAACCGCTCGTTTCGACGACGCCACACCCTCCTACGTCTGTCCAAAAAATCAACAGTGAACCTTGACTCATCTGAAAACATCACATTGCTCCAGCGTCGATTATCCCAGTGTTGACGATCCCTACACCAACGACGTCTTGCCTGAATGTGATGATCTCTCAAACAAGGGATCACGCGAGGACGTCGGGCGCGAAGGTAACCCCTATGCAGTCGATTCCGAATCGTCTGGCCACTCACTCTCACGCCAGTGTCTGTTTGGAAACGAGCGCTGATCTGATTTGCTGTGATGACACGATTTCTCAAGGCCAAGGTACGGATAAATCGATCCTGGGCTTGAGTTGTCGCCCTTGGTCGACCTGAGCGTGGTCTGTCCTGTACAGATTGTGTATCACGGTATCTGGACCATAGCCTGCTTATGACAGACTGAGAAACATTCATCGTCCGCGCCACAACCGCCTGTGTTGTGCCGATCTGTAGCATGCCAAGGGCACGTAACCTTTCATTTTGGGTAAGCCGACGCATATCAAAATTTGTTTTCTGGTCACTAAAACAATTAAACTGATGTTTCCACCCTGGAATTCAATGCCACAATGACTGTAACATTCAAAGTCAGAGTCGTGCAAATCTTGGGTTGGACCCCCATGATGATCCCAAGCATCACCTGCATTCCATGCGGTAGCTATTGGTGCGTTTGGGCGTCACATGTAACTGGAAATGTTTCTTCTGTTAGGTTCTATAGTGACTTTTTTCGTAGTCATTTGCATATTTTAGTATTATGCCCCCAAAATCAAATATCCCCTACTTTTTTTGAATAGTATATAAAAATGTATCTTCTTTGATTGGCATTTAGTAATTGAACATATTAACACAAGGTACAATTTTATGGATACACAATTACTGAGTTTGATACTAAGCGACGTTTCGACGAGGATACTCTCGTCTTTATCAAGCAAATGATATTTTAGAAATTAACAATAACTGATTTTAAAATGTATATCTACCTGTCTCTCAAATCGGATTTTACTACATTGGCACTTGACAATTCTCACAATACACTCTTTAAACTTGCGATGCATGAAACAATATAGTATCGGATTCTGTGCGCTGTTCGAATGACCCAACAGAAGGGCGAACGGGTACAGAGGTATGACCTGTTTAGATATTCTGTTACTGAAGACCATCAAAATGTTCAGGATATAGTATGGTAGCCAACAGATAGCAAATAAAATAGAAATTATGATCATCATTAAAGCCAAACGTCTACGGCTTAGCATCATTTTAGCCTCGTTCGTGATGTAAGAGTTTTGTCTACCGAGACGTGCATCTTTCACCCACAATCTGCACCCGATGAGTGAATACAACAACAAAACAACAGTCCCCGGTATGATGTAAATAAAACAGAACAAGAATATGTCGTATATTTGTCTATGATTGTGGCTAGGCCACTGTTCAACACAGTAACTTATAGGCATGTCGTTCACCACTAGGTCGTAATGGTCGACTTTTCTCACGAGAATTAACGGTACCATTACAGCAATGGCGAGTAACCACGTGATCCCTATCAACTGTTTTGTTTTGGTTACTGTGAAAATTTGACGATTTTTCATCGGGTACCGGATGGCAACGAATCTGTCAGCACTCATGCAGACGATTGTCAATACACTAGCTCCGACATAGATACCTGAAAATAGATATAATATTCTTAAGAATGTTTTAGTGTAAAATTTCTCCCTAAAACGGATGCCAGTGAACACAATTATTTGAGTTGCACTAGCTGATTTGGGCACGCTGTGTTAAATAGTGACATATAGGTCCAATGGGCCGGTTGTTAGTATTTTTATATTGATTTTCACATGTATTCTTTGTATAACACATGTCACTGAAATAAACAACTTTACATACTTACTACTATTAGGCGTACAATGGACCAGATCACAAATTAAAGAAATGTTGAATAACTATTGTCTAGGACATCGGTTGTCTATTTTACAATCATAATTGTGGACTGGATTCGTTAATCTATGTTTCTGCTGCTTGTAGGGCTGACTATGAAAGGATGACAATTGCCTTTGCTTCTTATTCACGAAAACCTGATCTAATGGCCGAGCGTTAAACGTCTAGTACAGATGTTACTCTTAGTCACTTATTGTAACATGTCATGGGTGATCTCGATGTTCAGCGTACATGTATATTATTGTAACAAAAATGTAATATTGTTATTGAATTTGGGTAATCTCCAGTTATGCGGCAGCTGGATATATACAAAACATGTGAAAGGGTCTGGGGTGACAGGTTATTGATACCAAACATAGCATTCTTTTCAATACAGTTTTAAGCTCGGGTGTCAAAAATCCATGTCTCAGTAGTTTGATTTCCAATCCCTACATTCAATACAAAATTACATCTGAATTTCATCAGAATTGTAGTTAATCGCACTTGAAATTTATATTCTAATGGCTCTTTTCAATTTCGACCAAAGAGCATATTATCATCTTTCTTTATATATCGTTCGCCTGTTTGTTATCTGACTTTAACATACCTTGCAGATAACCCGTTATTTTACACATAAATTCACCAAATATCCAAACTTGAAAAACAATTTCTGATACAGTCATCGGTATACAACACACAGCAACTGAAACAAAAAAGCATCCAGTTAAGATACGCCCACATTTTGCAAAAACAAAAAGCGATTTTTCGTACAATCAGGGGACATAATGGTCTGAAATGCGCGAATATCGAAACTCATGAGATATTTGGGATATCAAGATATATTTTAAGTTTCATCAAAATCGGATAAAAATTGTGACTAGAGAGTTCACAACCTTGGTAGTACATACTTTTAAACTATTTGCGCACGAGGGGCGGCCATTTTGTACGGCAGTTTTGGTCAGATTTTCATGAAATTCGAACTCAAACATCATTAGTGTGTAACCGTGATATATTCAAATGTTTTTTGAAATCGGATAAATATTGTGAATTCTAGAGAGATCACAAGCTAAAAACGTGATTTGTCGTACAATGAAGGGCCATAATTCAGGAAGTTACGATCCAATATGCACATATATCCAAAGGAACCAAGATCTTTTGGTTATAAACATGTATTTCAAGTTTTATGAAAATCGGACCAACATTGAGACCTCTAGATGGTCCACAACCTTTATATACCATTGTATTTACACTATTTGCGTACGGGGTGCGGCATTTTTGTCCGTCAGTTTTGGTCCAATTTTCACGAAATTCGAACTCAACCATCATTAAGGTGTAACGGTGATATAGTCAACCGGATTTTGAAACTGGAAAAAATTGTGACCTCTTAGAGGGACCACAAGGTAAAAACGTAATTTTTCGTACAATCAAGGGCCATAATTCAGGAATTTACATCCGATATGCGCGAATATCGAAAGGAACCAAGATCTCTGGGTTATAAACATGTATTTCAAGTTTCATCAAAATTGTGTCCTCTAAAGGGTCCACAACCTTGATATACCATATATTTACATTGTTTGCGTACGGGGTGCGGCCATTTTGTCCGGCAGTTTTGGTCTGATTTTCACGAAATTCGAACTCATCAATCAATAATGTGTAGCAAGATCTTTGGGTTATAAACACGCATTTCAAGTTTTATCAAAATTAGATAATTATTACCTCTAGAGTGTCCACAAGCTAAAAACGTGATTTTTCATATAATCTCAGGGGCCATAATTCACATGCCAATATCGAAAGGAACCGAGATCTTTTGGAGATAAACCTATATTTCAAGTTTCGATAGGAATTGTGACCTATAGGGTGTCCACGGGGCGACGACAAAATACGTCCACATGAAAGACGCCTTTTATACCCCTCTGTACGTCCGTTGCTAACAGTAATTGATTGTCCTTTCTTGCCTTACTTCCTGAACCTTCAAATCGTTGTTACGGACAGTGGCAGATTACCCATGGCCCACGTGACACACCTGCGCCAGGGCCCCAAGGTTTATGGAACCGTTAGAAAATTAGAATACCGAATTGTTTTTAAACATCTACTTTATTCCAAAAGTGTTAATAATCGTGTGGTTATTTGTAATCATGCCAGTCGCTTCGCGGGCTAAAAAGTTCATTCAGTTATTTGATCTACGTTCCAGTAGGCCTATAACGCAGGAGAAACTGTACAATTTGAGCAATGAAGGTGACTTTACTCAGAAGTTGGACTTTTCGGATATTAGCGATTCCTTTAGTGCAACATTTGAGCATTCAGTGCCGTGACGGACTATGGGCAGGAGGTAGCTGAGCCTGGTCCCGCCATGGAGTAGAAAGTTTTGGAAAAACTGACCAAAACGTGCTTTCTATATCGCTTATATCCTGAGTACCAAACCTCCAGAGACTGCAAACTATCGAGCAGATAATTATAGCGTAAATGCAAGACTACAAAAGGCCCCTGAACAATACATGGACACGATTCTTTAGTGCCCGCGAGTCTAACATACTCGCAGACTCCTTCTCAGTACATCCATTATTCAGGGATTTGAGATAGTACTTTAATCTTTAATATATAGGCTATAAGATTTTAAAATTAGTAGAATTTGTTCAATTTCAATATAAAAGTAATATAATTTTGACAGGGGCCATCATACGTAAGTGAGCCAGCGCCCCCATGTGGCTTAATGTGGCACTGGTTACGGATCACCGTGTAGAAAAGTTGTCTATGTTCGGAATGCGTTTAAGTATATTATGTAAAATTGGCGGACACCAACATTGTTTTTAATACAGACAAACGTAAAAGACGAGATATTGATATTTTAAAACATAATAATGACACTGTATATCAAGAGGAGCTGCTGTGGACAAGGCAGTAAGGCGATGGCTCACTAATCAGTGGTTCGACCCTGGTTTTGACCGAGAAAGTTCCCCGGTAGATGCCAGGGGGCCCAAGCAAAGAACAGCGTCTAGTCGTTAGGAGTGTCCGAATGGGAGGAAAACCCTAGGTTTCGTGTAAAAGTTCGAATTCAGTTGCTGTCCGGGTAAAATTTCCCTCATAGCCCACAATCTTCATATTTGATCAACCTTTACACGAGATAATTAGATATCAGAAATATTTACATGCCTAAATCAATATACATGCACCTATACGTCTGTAGCCTTTAGATACAGTACTCTGTTAGCAGAATCGTATTTAATAGAATTAATGTCCGGAATTAAAGTTAATCTTTGCCCCTAGTAGACTAATTGATTTTCTACGGTTGATGACTAAACGGTGTTATTAGTGTTAGTTAGTTGCTGTCAACGAGGACAACTGCGTCAAGAGGTCGCAGGCTGTAAACTTTCTGTCGACTGAGCCTTGATTAAGTCAGTTTTAACGGTCCTTAATTGCCCCTGCTTCTATTTGTTATCGATATAATTATATTGAATATTACAGATAATATGATTACACCAAGTGTACGACTACGGTTTATTATGTACATAAAATATAACCATGGTCCAAATAGACAGGGAGACTGACGGTCATTTTTATTGTTTAGCTTATAGGTTCATAAGGGCTAAAAATGTTATTTACTTTTATTGCAGTCAGGAATTGTTTTTTATTATTATTATTATTATTATTATTATTATTCTTTAGTGTTTTTTCAAACGATTGCTATTATTCAATAAGAAAAATGTTATTTACATCCTTTATATTGGTTTTTCAAACGATTACAAGAGGACTCGTATATTATTCAGTATGAAAAAATTAAGTTTCAAATTTGAGGATTTCAACTACGTTAAAAATTCTGACAAGATTGATTTTAATTAATTATAAACACAAAATTCTGATATTTGTTCACACTCCATTCAATCCAATATCTGTTCTCAAAGTGGAAATACTTAACCAGAATAAAACTCAGTATAGGCAATTAAATGAAATGGAAATTGGCAATGACAATAATAGTTGTTTAGTTCTAGACACGCAATGTGCAGATTATACTTAATCAATCGGATACCTAATGCAGAAAGAGAGAAGTAATGCATGTTAATGTTAAAGGAATATAATGTTTTAGAAATATGGATATCCCAATAGAACATAGACCCGGATCCAGCAATTAATTTTTTTTGGGGAGTGGGGGCGGGGGGCTTGGATCAATTGACAATCACATTAACATGTACGCAGTTGGGACTACCAACTGTCACTAGTAGATTTAAGTGTCATTTGCCCCAGTTATTGCCAGATTTTTGGATTTGCATTTATCGTATTTACGAGCTGCACATGGCGACTTTTACCAACGCCCCTAACGCCCTCCTACGCCTCTGCTAAGATGCCAAAGGGATTAGAAAACAATCTTCGGGTCACGGTTGTCAGCAAACCTTTTCTTCAAAATAAATGTTGTGAACCTCTTTAATACACGAGACGTGTTATCGCATATTCTATATAAAAAGAAATAATACTCAACAACTTCTTTTAGAAAACCAACCAGATCAATTTTGATTTGTTTATTTATTCACAACTTTTCACAAGTAAAAACCCGAGTAGGTATTCTATCAATTCAAATTATGGAAGTATTGGTTGGCAGCCCGTATGCAAGAAAGAATTCCTAAATTAAGGTATGAATATTTAATAGAATTATATAAGGTAATGAAAATTGCTTGCATGTCTCTAGACTAAGTCGACTGACAGTAAATGTATCCTTCAAGTTAAAAATCCTAGAAAATTTACCATAAATCTAATTAGACGTCGAAAACTGACAATTTCAGAATAATTTCTTAGTGATTGGTTTCGTGGTGAATTGAACACATATTTTACAAGAGAGGATAACAAGTTTATTCTCCGGATATTTTCAGAATTTGGATTAATTTTAGATTTTATAACGAGGCGAGGACTTATAATGGCCGTGAGGTTGTTAACTCGCACTGTAGCACATCAAAGTGTCTTGCTGAGATTATTTTCCAAAATCGAAAGTTTATTACCATACCGTCTGTAAACTGTCACAGATTAAAGAAGGTCAAATGTGGTGAAGATTAGGGTGTTTTCCGATCGTACATAATACTTAATGTCGGACTAAGATCAACGAGGTGGGGAATATAGGTACCTGTCACAAATTTCGAGTGACTGAAAAGTCCATCAGACACAATTAAGCCACTTTCTGTCCCTGAAAGTCAATTGGTTCTGGTTAATAAAAGCACAATCTCTGGGGTCATCTCAATCATCCACTACTACTACTCGCTCGACAATACATGTTTGATGAGGTATGTTAGAAAGCGGAGTGGTGTATAATTAATCAGAATATAATAGAGAAATTTGTACATCAAGTTGTTAGTTTCTGTAAAGCACACAATAACACAAAATGGTTAGGTTAGGGGATGTTTTAGTGATCAATTAATTGTGTCAAAATCAAACGCATTTTGTATAATAAATAAACCACAATATAAAAAAAAAATACTTAGACCAGGAACCGAATATGGTGCCACGTGATGTGCAATAGTATATAAGGAACAAACATGCCACGTGTCATGTGGATCGTTGACTTGTCGGAGCCATAGGTCATTTCGAATAACTTTACCCGAACATGACGAGTGACGCTTGAACCCGTTACTGGTTTTAAAAACTAAAATATATATTATTTTTAAAAAGATGCTAATACAGTAGAACCCCATTAATATCAGTAA